ATTAAACGCTGGAAAGGCTGCAGCTAGCTGGCTAGCTCGCTAGCTAGCTGCTCCTTCTGCCGCAGCAGCAGCTGCGGCGTCTGTAGGCGATCCTGTGTAGTCTGCTGCGGCCTGAGGACTAGCAACAGCAGCAGCAGCAGAAACCCTGCTGCTGCTGCTGCTGCGAGTCCTCAGGCCCCAGCAAACCACACAGGATCGCCTAGAAACGCCGCAGCTGCTGCTGCGTCAGAAGGAGCAGCTAGCTAGCTAGCTAGCCAGCTAGCTAAAGCCTTTCAAGCGTTTAATTATAGCCTCTGAGGAGCAGCAAAGAACTCGCGGTCGGCCCCGTGCAGCAGCAGCAGCAGCAGCAGCAGCAGCAGCAGCAGGGGGCTTCCCCAGCAGTCGCTGGGTCGAGTTTGTAGCGAAGCAAAGAATCTTTCTTCTGCAATTTAATTTAAAATTAAATATTAATTTATTATGATTGCCTTTTGCAGCAGAAGATTGAAGATTTATGGGGAGAAAGACACAAACTGAGGCGGTCTGCTGCTGCTGCTGCTCCCGTTGCTGCTGCTGCTGCTGCTGCTCGTTTTGCTGCTGCTGCCGCTCATCCTGCTGCTGCTGCTGCTGCTGCTGCTGCGCTGCTGCCGCCTGAAATTTTGGACAAAGCGGAATTTTCACAGTCAATAAACTGAGGTGTACGTACACCTCAGCTTGCTGCCGACAGGTCCACTAGTTTATCACCGAGCACACCAATTGCTGCTGCTGCTGCTGCTGCTGCACCCGTTGCTGCAGCTGCTGCAGCTGTTGCTGCAACTGTTGCTGTTGCTGTTGTTGCTGTTGCTGTGTCTGTTTCTGCTGCTGCTGCTACTACTGGTGACACGGCTGCCGCGGTGCTGCTGCTGCTGCTGCTGCCGTTTGCATGCACGATGGCTCTTGCTGCTGCACCCAACGCCACTGGCAGTTTCACCATTGCTGCTGCTACTGCTGCTGCCGATGCAGCTGTTTTTGCTGCTGTTGCTGCTGCTGCTAGCTGCTTAGCAAGTGTGCATACACCCGGGACTGCCCATGTGTGTTTCCTTTTTGTTCCGTCTGCTGCCGCAATATCTGCCCCTGCTGCTACTGCTGCTGCTGTTGCTGCTGCTGCTGCTGCTAAAGCGAGCTTTAGGCGCAGGTATCTTTAGCAATTGAGCATTAGAGTGAAAGGAATTATTTTTTGAAAATTTCAATTTTGCAAAATGATAAAAAGAAAACAATTTGGCAGCAAAGCAGCAAAAATAACAATTCAAACGTTTTCTTTTTTCTTCTTTGCTGCAGCAAAAGCTTTTGCTGCTAGATTGGTGGAAATTTAAATAAATAATTCATCAAATCCCAAAAAAGCCCCAAAAGTCCATTTTTGTTGCATGCATTTGCATGCAGCTTTCTTGCATGCATCCGCAGATGTCTGTACACCCCAAATTAGCCAATTTTCGATGCATTTAATAAAAAGTGAAATATTCATTGTTGCATTTGTTTTTATTGTTCATTTATTTGTTTGTTTTATTATTCATTTGTGCATTTGTTTTATCCAAATGCACAGAGTACACAGCCACATATATATATGTATATTACATGTGCATAAATATATTTACTGTATATATATATATATAAGTATGTTTATATATATATATATGTATATGTTATATATATTAAATATTATATATATATATATATTTATCTAAAGACATTCAATATATACGTAAAGAGTCAAATACAAACTTATAAATAAAGGTCAAGTCATAGAATATAAAAGTGAGCAAGTTTATGTTAATAATGTATGTAAATAAATATTAAAATATCTTTTTTGAATACAAAAAATATGCAAATATATAATTAAAATATTTATAAATTAAAAATAAAAATATATTACGTGTTTATGGGCACTTGCATATTTAGAATAAATATAATTAAAGACAAAAGATGTAACAAATATATATTCATAACATGTATAAACGAAGACTAAAACAACATATAGATGCATATATAAATATATTTATTTGCAAATATCTATTTTTAGTTTGTATAAAAGAATGAAAACGATATCTGAGATATAATAGACAAATATACTTCAACGCTGTACAGATATAAAGATAAGAACATCTAATATGAAAATTTCTGTAAACAAATATGCATTTATAGAATAATTAAATAAAAAGAGCATTTAGTATTTATTTACAAGCAAATATGTACTTATAAATGTGCATAGATTAATAATATATTTAGCACTTACTATTATTATTTAATAGTAAATAAACAAAATCATAAAAAGATTTGCAATTTTAATTGGTATATTCGATTAAGTTTCTAATAGTAAATATAAGTAAAAATAAAACAGATTTGGAAGCATTTGTGCGGACGCACGGGGTGTATGTACACCTCTGGAATCCACTTCTCCATCGAACATGACCATTTGTGCATTATTTGCGTTTATATTCACTTAAATAAATATATATTTTCATATTTTTAAATATTTAATATAATTATTTATGTTTAAATGTGTAAAACTGCTCAAATCGACGCAATCCAGACTGGCTGACTCGCCCGGGCCTTCAGGTGTATGTACACCTCACGCTCAGCTCAACCGGCCAGTCAAAACAGTTGCTGCTTTTCAGAGGTTTTTAATTTCAGAATTTAAATAACCTTTTGAGTTTTATGAAGCTACATTAATGTATATTGCAGAATTCAGCCCATTACATGCGTCGGCAGCTAGCTGAAGCCAGCAGCTAGCTGCAGCTAGCTGCAGCTAGCTGCAGCTAGACGCAGTTAGAAGCAGCTAGCTGCAGCCAGCCATAGCTAGCCACAGCTAGCCACAGCTAGCCACAGCTAGCCACAGCTAGTCACAGCTAGCCCTGCGAAATCACAGACGTTCGCAGCTAGCCAGAGCTAGCCACATGGCTATCCCTAGCTGCCCACAGGCATTCGTAGCTAGCCACAGCTAGCCACAGCTAACCACGGCTCCCCCTTAACAGCTGCGACTGCAGGCTCGCTAGCTAGCTAGCTAGGCAGCTGGTCACAGCTCTCCATATAGCGTCTGTGGCACTCCTAATGGAGAGACCCCGAGGCTGCGGCGCAGTAGCAGCAGCAGCAGCAGCGGTAGCAGCAGCAGCGGTAGCAGCAGCAGCAGCAGGGCCCTAGGGCTGCTGAAGTGGGGCGGGATTGAGGCAAAGGAAAGTGCTGCATTTTAAGCAGGGAAAGAAGTGGAAGCAGCAGCAGAAAATGCCACGGGGAGAAGAAGCTTCAGACTTGCTGCAGCTGCCTGTCTTGCTGCTGCTGCTAGGAGGCCACTGAGGCGCCACTGGAAACTAGTAATAATAATAATAGTAGTAGTAATAATAGTAATAGTAATAATAATAGTAATAATAATAATAATGATAATGATAATAATAGAACATGAAGACAAATGCAGCAGCAGGGCAGCAGCAGGGGCCCTTTGGGGCTTAGAGAAAAGCTCATGTAGCAGCAAAGTGCAGCTGCAGCAAAGCTGCTGCTGCAGACGCAGCCAGAGGTCGAAATGGAGGAGAAGGGCAGAAGCCTAATGGACAGAAACGGAGGCGAGCAGCAGCAGCAGTAGCAGCAACAGCAGCAGCAGCAGCAGCAGAGGCTGCAGCAGCCAGAAAGGCTTGCAAGAAGACAAGGAATACACGAGAAGCAGCAAAAACGGGCAGCAGCAACAAAGCCTGAGACTCCAGCAGCAGCAAAAAAGAGCCCCCGGCATTAATAAAATGCCTAGCCTTCTAGCAAGTGCTCACGGGCCTAGAGAGCTGAAAAAGGGGAGGAAATAGGAAAATAAAAGTTTAAGAAACCAAAAAGAATATAAATGGAAAAGAGAGCAGCAAAAAGAACAGAAAAAAATGAATAGGAAGGCTCTAGGAGGCGCCAAGGTGACCGAGACTGCAGAGGAGAGCCCAGCGGCGGCATTTTTCGCCTTTTTATTCCCTCTTTAGCAAATAAACTGCCTTACATCTATTTATTTTATTAAAATAAATCATTAAATGTCAAAATTTAATGCTCTTTGGGTCTATTTTTGCTGTTTCACGCCGCCGATCAAAGAAGTGATCGCAGGTGACCGTGCGATGCTGCTGGGGTGTACGTACACCAGCTGCGGAAACGTGCGTTTGCGTTTGAACACAAAAGTGAAGTATCAAAACTTTGATTTAATTTATATAATTGTGTTTCTATTTGCAGTTTATAGAGACGAGGAGCTGCCTAAGCTAACGAGCAGCAGCAGCAGCAGCAGCGGCAGCAGCAGCGGTCTGCTGCTGCATATCTCTCTGGACGGGGGGCTGCGGTGTGCTGCTGTTGGGCTATTTGTCTTTCTTTTCGATTTCATATTTATATTTCTTTATTTATTTGCAATCAGGTTTACAAACTGCTGGTGTAGTGGTGCTTCAGCGGTCTCAAGTATTCTTTTTGGCGAATAGACGACGACAGGCAGCAGCAGCAGCAGCAGCAGCAGGGCGAAACTCTCTGAGTTGTTTCTGTAAGTGCAGCAAATCAAGACTAGGGGCCCCAGGGCTGCTTCTGGTGGTTCTTTTGCTTCTCTGCTGCTGCTCTTCTTCGCTTTTTAAGCAGCCCCGTGGTGTGCCATGGGCCCTTTTGCTGCACCTTTTGTCTTTTGCTGCTGCTTCTTTTTGCTGCTGCAGAGACACCCGTCGAAGCAAAGGCCCGCCTCTGCTGCTGCTGCTCCTTGCCTGCTCCTTGCCTGTCTCCCGGCCCCTCAGATTTGCTTCTGGCTGGTCTCTCTGTGCCGGCCCCCTGAAGAAGCCCTGCTGCTGCTGCTGCTGCTGCTGCTGCTGCTGCTGCTGCCTTTTGCTGCGCCAGCGCCTCTGCTTCGCAGCCATGACTGGGAGACTCTCAGAGGCCCGGGGCGGCCCGGCGTCGCCGGCTGCGTGGCTGCTGCTGCTGCTGCTGCTGCTGCAGCACGCGGCGGCTCCGGCGGTGGCGGCGGCCGCAACAAACGGAGCAGCAAATGCTGCTGCTGCTGCAGCAGCACACAGCGACAGAACAGCAGCAATGACCTCCAGGGGGGCCCTCAATACCCTTTCTGGGGGCTCTGCTCAAAACCCTGCAATTAATGAATTGGTCACTGTCCAGGATCTTGCCAGCATGCAAGAGGTGGGCCTTTTGTTAATTCTTTTAAGTCCTTCTGCTTCCTGCTGCTGCTGCTGCTGCTGCTGCTGCTTGTCTTCAAGCAGTTAAAAAGATCGACTTGCTCGCAGTTAATAACTAAAAGAATTCCATTTAAGGATGTTTATAGTCAAAATGGCCTCTGCTAAGCAGCACTTGACAACACTAAAGAATGTATTCAATAATAAATATAAACAGAGAGGGGAGCAGCAGCAGCAGCAGCAGCAGCAGCAGCATCTCCTTCCCTCCTCCCCCCTCCTCCGCAGGAGGCTCTCTCCCCCCTTGCTGCCCCTCCCCGCACGACTCTGCTGCCAGCTCCACCGCCACAATCCCCAGCAGCAGCAGCAGCAGCAGCAGCAGCAGCAGCGGCAGCAGCAGCAGCAGCAGCAGCAGCAGCAGCAGCGCGGCTGGGCGGTGTGCGCCGCAGGACCTGTCGGAGCTGGACCGCTTGCTGAAGGAGCTGGGGATGACGTTTTACCTGGAGCAGTCGCGGGACATGACCATGCTGATGCCAGTAAATGCTGCTTTTGCTGCTGCTGCTGCAGCAGGACTGGACCTGCACAGACTCTCCTGGCAGGCCAAGTGGCGCATTCTCCAATTCCACATCATTCCCAACCAAGTGGTGGACCTCGACGACGCGCTGCGGGACCAGCAGCAGCAGCAGTTCGACACTTGGGAGGGCTCCCCGCTGCTGATCGGCAGGCGCAGCAGCAGCAGCAGCAGCAGCAGCAGCAGCAGCAGCAGCGGCGGCGGCGGCGGCGGCGCGGCGGAGGGGGAGGCCCCCGAGTACGTCGTCAACGGCGAAGCCAAGGTCATTTCAAAACCCCCCAAAATCGAAACTTTCAATGGGGCTTCTTATAAAATCAACAAAGTAAACCCTAAACCCTAAACCCTAAACCCTAAACGCCAAACCCTAAACCTTAAACCCTAGAGAGAAGAAACCGAGAGAG